CAGTTTTTATCGGCTCATTTTTTTATTTTGAGAAATTCCCAACTTGACTGACGAGGGTAAATTCACATTCATTGACTCTGTTCTTCGGATTTTATGTTACAGGTTTTTTCATTTTCCTTTCCTTTGCTGCCAGTGGGAAGGCGCTGGAACTGTACAGAGATAAACTGACCATATTAACGTATCTCAAAGGAGAAGATGGAAAGAAAAGTAAATCTGTCTCCAACAGCACCTTACAGTCTGTCTGCGCATCTGACTCGAAACATAGACCGGATCGATGTGAAAATGATACACGCTTGTAAATTCGCGTTTGCTTGTGATTGTTTTAGGCTGTGCATGCATGAACGTAAAACATTGTCCAAGTGCCACATTGACTAGCACGCAAAGTACTAAGGCTCTGCCGGCGGTTTAATACTAAACATGGCATACTGTTGTAAATAGCACAAATAAAAACGCTTGTGGTTATTCTTAATTTGAATCAGCAGGGGCACGATCTTTCCTCTCAAGAGTTAATAACCTACTTTTAATTACGTAAATCTGGGCAACTGCAGATGATACAGTTATCTTCGCATTTACTATGTTAGGTTAAAGAGGCTGAGATAACATTAGATGGAACCATAAAGTTAAGTTAAGATCGCCAAGTTTGTTATATTTTGGATCAATTTTAGGTTTCTGGGAAACTGCCCACTTACCCCTCCCCTAAGCCAACATTATCACTTACTTCTCACTTATGGCAAAATGTTGGCTTAGAGGAGAGGTAGGTGGGCAGTTTCCCACAAACCTAAATTGATCCATTTTTGTTTTTATTTTGTTTTGCTTTGACCCTGTGACTTGAGCAATCGGAAAACGTTTTCTTTGCATTACAATCAAATCTGAGAGACTTGAGTTATTTTTGCCGTGAGAATAGGAAGTTAAGGAAAGATAGCCGCTCTTGGATTCAACTCAATTTGGCATCCCTGAATCCAGACAGGTGTTTAAACTGGTCTCCTTAGAGTAAGGCTGAATCAGTTTTTATATTTTGTGCAAGTTATGGAATTCAGCATTAAATACAGTAAATAGATAAATATTTAGTACATCCACATTGTGGTTTTTCGCCTACCTAATTACCGGTCGAATTGGAATTTGAAATGTTGGGTTTTGAGGAGAGGGGAAAACCGTAGTACCCGGACAAAAACCTCTCGGAGCAAAGAAGAGAACAAACAACAAACCAAACCCACATAATTCTGGCGTCGACTCCGGGATTGTGAACCTGGGCTGTACTGGTGGGTAGCGAGTGCTCTCACCACTGTGCCACCCTTTCGCCCCATGTAACGGTATCCAAGACTGTCTTAGATCCTGGATTCCACTCCATGGATGCCAGATTCCAACTACTGGATTCCAGATCTTCTTTAGTGGAACTTCGATTCTGGATTCCAATCGTTAGTGGGATTCCGGATTCCTACAGCTGTATTCCGGATTCCAAAGCCCAGGATTCCAGATTCCACGAGTAAAAATTTCCCGGATTCCGGATTCCCTTACATGGGGCGAACCTTTGCTCCCAAGATCTTCATGGAAGGGGAAAAATTTAATAAATAAGGTCACTAAGGTTGATTTATGAGTAAGAATTATCGGTTACTTGAAAAAGGGAGAACAAGGAGGAGTCCAAAAACTGATTAGCCAGAATTGCAGATGTACTGTTTATAAACGAAACGAGGTTGGATCGAGATTGCAACGACGTAGAAGCAGCCACAGTAACTAACAATATCAAGACACCAACAGGAACATCACTTTCTCATTAATACACCGTCTCTCTCAAAGGACTAATAATTCGCAATAAGGGGCGGGGGGGGGGGGGGGGGGGG